GGCAAACCTGGCGAACAGCTCGATCCAAGTCGCAGTCAGCGAAAATGATGAGCGGAGATTTCCCACCAAGTTCGAGAGAACATTTCTTGATGTTCGAATCCGCACACGATCGCATTATTACTTGTCCTATCGGAGTACTTCCAGTGAATCCGAGTTTGCGGACTAACGGATGATCAGCAATCGCTTGTCCGCAAACGCTTCCTGGATACAATTTAATTCAAAGCTTTAATCATACAATTCAAATAAAAAGCTTGAACGATGGACACAACGCATATTCTTTTGAATAATTCCAAGAATTGTTAAACAGTGTCACAATATTTAGCTTGAAAAAATTTGGACCAGGGTTCGAATAATACGAAAGGAAAATCAATAACACAAATACGTATCAGCTGCAAAACGAGCACTAGAACTTACAGAGTGGATATAATTACAGCATTCGAAGGATAAAAAATTAATTTAGATACAAGAATCTCAGAATAGCTGTTCAAGTGTATCCTTTACATTTTATTCATTCAGTAGCCATGGGGGTGGAAGGACGAACCTGTGCCAGGAAGAACGTTCACAACTCCTTTCGGTATGCCGGCTTTTACTGTCAATTCCGCAAATTTGAGAGCCGTTAGCGGGGAAACCTGAGCAGGTTTGATAACGACAGTGTTGCCAGCAGCCAAACACGCAGCCATTTTCCATGATAACATCATCAATGGATAATTCCAAGGCGTCACGAGACCGCAAACTCTGCAGAGAAAAAAAATATTCGTAAAACTCTTACAATACTGTAATCTAAACCGCAGTAGTCTTTTTTTGTCGATAAAAAGCCAAGAACCTTAGTACTTCAGAAAGTATAAATTCAAGGGGTCCCAAAAGTGCTCAAACCACAGAAGAGTAAGTCGAATATAATGAGCATTTTCAAAGCTAAATTTTCGAAATACTGTAGTCCAGTATATAAATTATTCTTGTTCGAAATTTTCGAACGATGGGAATTTGAAGAAAAATCAATTTACCCAATCGGTTCACGCTTAGTTATGGTCAAATTTCGGTTGGGTCTCGCGTGAGAAATCGGAATCGTGCTTCCTTGAATCTTATCGGTCCAACCGGCAAAATATCTCCACGTATCAATTGACATTCCAACGTGCG